CAAGCATCAAGATTAAAGGGTGATTATAAAACAGGCAAACGCATCAATATGCGAAAAATCATTCCTTATATAGCTAGTCAATTTCGCAAGGATAAAATCTGGCTCAGACGCACGAAACCCTCAAAACGTGACTATCAGATCGTCCTCGCATTAGACGATTCCAGCAGCATGGCAGATAATCATTCGAAAGAATTGGCTTTTGAATCCTTGTCGCTGATTAGCAAGGCTATGACATATCTTGAAGTGGGACAACTTAGCGTCCTAAGCTTCGGGGAGCAAGTGAAAGTATTGCATCCTTTAGAAGAAGCTTTCACAGAACAAAGTGGCTCTAGGTATTTTTACCTTTATATAATCCCTATAAATATTTAATATTTAATTAAATACAAGTTTTGAATATACATTTATGAATCAAAAGATAAAATTAGATGAATGATATTAATTGTAGTCACTACTTTACCCATTCAAACTTGTTAGTCACAACTGTTCAATTTTGTTTTACGTAGAATAATCCTATTTAATTTTATTCAATAATACGACAATTGGAATTTTAATATTTAATATTGGAATTTTACATATTATTTAAGGTTTCTTTTCTATTCACAGGCTAATACAAGAAATGAAATTTGATCAAAAAAAGACGATGATTGGACAATTAGTTGATTTTACGGTAGATATGTTCGAAAGTCAATGTGCTTCATCCGATAATGCTAAACTGTTGGTAGTATTATCGGATGGTAGAGGAATATTTTCAGAAGGAAAAGAAAAAGTGAATTGTGCTGTCAGGAGAGCCAGGCTTGTAGATATTTTCCTAGTATTTATAATAGTCGACAATCCAATTAACAAGGTAATTCTTAATCATATTTAAAAATGATGGATCGATTGTTCTATCTTCAGACAAACTATGTGATAATTTATCTAATGAATAAACAAGAGTAAATGTGTAAGGCCCGATTGTGTGCACCAACGTTAGCTTGATTTTAAGCGAAATTTAAAATACTTTCTTCAAAGCCGAGAGAGAACGAGAGATAGAGTTTTAAGCCTCGCTTCAAGTTCAACATAATGTTGATACAACCGGACCTACGAGCATTAGAGAATTAGAGAATTGAAATTTATATCGAAAGATGGAATAACCAAGACTAAGTTAATAATTATCGCGATAATAGTTCTATTTAGGTGCTATTAAAAACGTGTAAAAGTTATTATTTATGGCCTATCTATTCATTTCAGGATTCAATATTGGATATCCGTATGCCTGTGTTTGAAAAAGGAAAATTATTAGGAATTCGATCATATATGGATAATTTCCCTTTTCCTTTCTACATGATTCTTAGAGATATAAACACATTACCAGGTGTTCTGAGCGATGCTTTACGCCAATGGTTTGAAGTAGTTGGAAAAATTGATACTTAAGAGAGACTTGTAATAATTTTAAATATTCAGATTTAAAAAATTAGTATGTCATAAAAGTTGAATTTTAGATACATAAAACATAGCATACATATAAATATGTGTATGTATACAGTTTTGCGTTTAGACAATTCAAAATTATCTAGATATAGATAAGATAAATGACACAAAAATGTATTTTAGATGAGATGAAGATAATTCATTTTATATTAATCTAGATAAAAGATGAAATTAAAAAAATTTTTATCTAGATAATTTTTATATAAGATGATTTTGTTTTTAAGTA